CGCGAGCAGGGAAGCCGGGCAGCCCCGGGACTCGGCGGGGCCCGGGGACAGCGAGGACGCCGCCCACTCCACAGGGTGAGCCATCCTTGAGGGCAATCTCCGGTCCACGGTCGCCCTCAGTTTTCCCCTTCAGACTTCCCGCGAGTGTCGCCACCGTAACCACCCGCAGGGTCGTCCTGGCCGGCCCCTCCTCCGGCCCTGTGCGCCCCTGCCTTGCGTCCCAGCCGCTGGCCTCCCCTCAGTTGCCTCATTCCGGTCACTTTGCCCGAGTCACTACCGAGCTCTTTCAGCCGGTGCCTGCCTGGATGTCAACTCTCGGCCGCGCCCCTGCCCCATCTCTTACAACTCCCCCACCTGTGGGCTCCTCGTTTCTTTAGTTCCTGCAGGAGGGCCCTTGTGTCATCTAGGCCAGGTCCCCAGTCGGTATGCCTTCCTCCCACAGCATCAGCTCTGCTGTTTTCCCAGTGATGGGCCCACACCTCCAGCCCTGCCTGACCCTGCCTTTGCTGTCCACTTTGGATAACGACCCTTGGTTTTCTCCCTGCTCCGAAACTTTCCACTGCCACACACATGTTCCTCCTCCAATGTTAGTCATCCTACTGCCCCCACAACAGTTCTCACATGACCCCGCTCCCTAAATCTACTGCTTCCTCTAGGTATGAAGCTAAAATGCAGTTGTTACAACACAGGAGCTTAACAGGCCTGACCTTTGAATCCCAGTCCCTCCCCTGACGGAGCTTTGTGATATTAGGTAAGTTACTAAACTTCTCTGGGCCTGAAATTGTGTATGTGTAAAGAGGAACTAATACTAGTTATGTGTATTTTCCCTACCTCTTAGAACTGGTATTAACTACAATGCTTCTTGATTTACATCCTGATAAACCTTTAAAATACCCTAAATTAAAAATGCATATCTTACACCTAACCTACTAACCACAGTGGCTTACCAGTGCTCTTACCACTGCTATGTGATGTCAGTTACTTAACATTGTGGATGAGGAGGAACTTAAACTGTCTGGCCTTACAAAAAGAACATTGTGTTTGTAAGTCCACTACCTTAGGAAAGGATCAAAATTCTAGGGCCTGGGGCTGTAACTCCAGGTAGAACACATGCCTAGCCTGTGCATTCAACTTGTATTCCATTGCTGGCACTGAAAACCAAACCACAAGCCGATTTGAAGTACACTTTATACTAAAAGTTCATCATTTGCAAATCGTAATAAATGGAACATTTTAAATCTACATCCATCTGCATGTGCAAAGCTCTCAGAAGAATGCCTAGTAATAAGTACTGAGAAGATAACTATTATTAACACAGGTGGTACATGGGAAGTACAGCGTGCTCTCAGTGAGTTCTCAACTGCTGTTTTCCTAAAGTTTTCTCTGATAGAATTCAGCTGTTCCTGCCAATTGGCAATGGTGCACGGCCTTAAGTCCCAGCACTTGGAAGGCAGAAGCAGGTGGATCTCTGAGTTTGAGGCCAGCCTGGTCTACAGAGTGAGTTCCAGGACAGCCAGAGCTATGCAGAGAAACTCTGTTTCTGAAAAAGACAGAAAAAAAATTGAGCTCTTCCCATGATCTCCAGCTTTCCTCCTACTACTCCCTCTCTCCTCCACCATTGAATTTGAAGCCTCACATGTGGTAAGCAAGGTCTTTGCTGCTAAACTTGGACTCCAGGCCCCATCACAGTTTTTATTCTGTCTCCCAGCTCTCTTGTATCAATTAGTTTTACCCAGGCCAAAGCTGAAGTCTAAATAAAGCATCATAAATCATCTCTCTGGATTCTGAAAGACCTTGTCTCCGCCTGTTACCACTGAAGAGTATGTGTCGGAATGGGTGGTAGAGAGGGGGTCACCACCTATTAACTTCACTGAGAGTGCCTAAGATAAAAGTGACTGGAAACTTGTAGCAGTCTGTAAGAGAAAAAGTAGCTTTCAAGTAGGTTTCCTTAAAACTTTTTTGTGATCATCGGCCCCTCAATCCCTCATTTTCCTCCAAGTTAGCTCAGGGATGCTCCTGTGCTGTTCTGAAGTGAGGATATAGTAACACCTTGGTTAATTCAGGAAGGAGAAGTAGGGATAGGTAGGGAGTCTGGATTCAGTTTTCCGGCTTTTCTTAAGTACTAGTGATGACATGTCCTGCCCTGGGTCTACATTTTTATCTTCCTCTCCTGATTTTAACATGGATGAAATGAAGGGTATGGGGTAATTTTTTGCAAGCAGTGTCAAGGTAAGTCTCACAAGTTCTGGACTCAGAAGCTAATACAATTATTAGCTCTCACAGTTTCTCAAGTTCCTCCAGTTCCTCCACCACAGTGACCACATGACTGCAAGTTCGTTAGTACCGTTGGGTGTGATAAAGGGTGTGATTAATGTAGAAGATTAAGACTCATGAGTTTTCTCCTATCTGATGTTTCATTGGATCATGAGACTTCCGAGATGTGCTATCCATTCCTTATAGAGAGCCCACCAGAGCTCCTGCTCATTGGCAAACTGCTCAGTCACAGGATGGGAATTCCTTTCAGAGTAGACCTCTGTTCACCCTCTTGGCTGTTTGGTCTCTGTGGATAGCCTCTTTCATAACTTGAGTTACTGCCCCAGCTTGAGCATAAGGGAATTTGGATGTTCATTTGGGTATTCTAAGAAAGAGAAAAAGCTATGAAGCTAAGGTATGGGATTCAACTTGTATTCTATACAACAAGGCGTCTAGGCTGGGGAGAGGGCTCAGAGGGTAAAGCTCTTGCTGCACAAGTATGAGCATCTTGGTTTAGATTCCCAGGACCCATGAAAAGCTAGATATGTGGTGGTGTTAGCCTTTCTAACTGGAACAGAGAGCTCCAGGTTCTCTCTCTCTCTCTCTCTCTCTCTCTCTCTCACACACACACACACACACACACACACACACACACACGTGTCCAGGCATGCACATGCATAGAAGAGATCATCTGATGAGCATGGGGTAAGAGACGGGCTAAGCAGCATGGGTTAATGACAGACTTTCAAAGGAAAAAGTAATCCACTGATTTCTCTGCTTTACAGGTTGTGGGAGCCACACCTGTGGACTTTGCTGATTTCTGATGTAAGAACCTGCACCGGAGCTGAAGAAGCTCAAGTTTCAGCCTGAGGCATGGGCCAGGAGGCCATGGTGACCTGAGACCAGTGAATTCTGTCTAATACAACCTGTTGCTCCTTCTGCCTCCCCCCGTCCTGTGTAGAAATAGTTTGTATCCATCTCATCAGGGAACTGACCCTAAGAGAGTCTCTTTCCCATATTTTTTTTTATTCTTCTGCCCTACCAAGACTATTCCAGCCCACAGAACTCCTACCTCCCATCTCCTGAGGTGGTCCCCACTGCTTCCTCATTTCTCCTCGCCATGCTCCAGCTGTGGAAGGTGGTACGTCCCGCTCGGCAACTGGAACTGCACCGCCTCATACTGCTGCTGATTGGTTTCAGTCTTGTCTCCATGGGATTCTTGGCTTACTATGTTTCCACCAGCCCCAAGGCCAAGGAACCCTTGCCTCTGCCCTTGGGAGACTGTAGTAGCAGTGGGGCAGCCGGCCCTGGCCCTGCACGGCCACCAGTCCCACCTCGACCCCCTAGGCCTCCAGAAACAACTCGAACAGAACCCGTGGTCCTTGTATTTGTGGAAAGTGCATACTCGCAATTGGGGCAGGAGATTGTGGCCATTTTGGAGTCTAGTCGTTTTCGTTATAGCACTGAACTAGCACCTGGCCGAGGGGACATGCCCACATTGACTGATCATACCCATGGCCGCTATGTCTTGGTCATCTATGAGAACCTTTTGAAGTATGTCAACTTGGATTCCTGGAGTCGAGAACTGCTTGACCGGTACTGTGTGGAGTATGGTGTAGGCATCATTGGCTTTTTCCGAGCCCATGAACATAGCCTATTGAGTGCCCAACTTAAGGGCTTTCCCCTTTTTCTACACTCAAATTTGGGGCTCCGGGACTACCAAGTGAATCCTTCTGCCCCACTACTACATCTCACTCGCCCCAGCCGCTTGGAGCCAGGACCACTGCCTGGTGACGACTGGACCATCTTCCAGTCCAATCATAGCACCTATGAACCAGTGCTTCTTGCCAGCCATCGGCCAGCTGAGCTGCCTGTGCCAGGACCAGTGCTTCGTCGGGCCCGGCTCCCCACTGTGGTACAGGACTTAGGGCTTCATGATGGCATACAGCGGGTGCTGTTTGGACATGGCCTTTCTTTCTGGCTCCATAAACTTGTTTTCGTTGATGCTGTTGCGTACCTCACTGGGAAGCGCCTCTGCCTGGACCTTGACCGCTACATCTTAGTAGACATTGATGACATCTTTGTGGGCAAAGAAGGTACTCGTATGAAGGTGGCTGATGTTGAGGTCAGTTTTTCTTTTCCTCTTATGTTTATTTTGCTAGAAAATTTACAAGTTCTAGGTGCCAGATTTCCTGCTTTGATTCTGAGCTGGTCATAGATTCTCTGCCTTTTATAGTTGGAAAGAAAGCTGCTTCCTATATATTTCTCACTTAGTCTGTTGTCTCCTGATTTGGCATTCCTCTACTATTCTTTACAGGCTCTGTTGACCACCCAGAACAAACTCAGGACCTTAGTCCCCAACTTCACCTTCAACCTGGGTTTCTCGGGCAAGTTCTACCACACTGGTGAGCTCATTCCCTGTTCTTATCAATTTTACCTTGATCTGTCTTCTTAGTATTGACTCTGGGCACACAAGTTGGAGAGAGGGACAAAGTTTAGGAACATAGTGCAGTGATGAGCTAGTGACAGACTTGGATTAGCATGGGTGGCTGGGGAATACATTGTCAGTAGAGCAAACAGAAAGCCTTGGACCCTGGGTAGGGGTCAATAATGTCCAAAGGATGGAAGGTGGTTACAAAACAAAGGGCATAGGGGCTGACTGGCCATGGTCAGCAGTCAGTGTGTGACCATAGGGACAGAAGAGGAGGATGCTGGGGATGACATGCTGCTGAGGCACCGCAAAGAGTTCTGGTGGTTCCCTCACATGTGGAGCCACATGCAGCCACACCTGTTCCACAACCGCTCTGTGCTGGCTGACCAGATGAGGCTCAACAAACAGTTTGCTCTGGTGAGACCCTTGAATCTCTCTCCCATGCTTTCTCCCAGAGATAACGTTTCCTTTTTATCCCTCCCTAATAGATACCCTTTCCTATCCTGTCCAGTTTTCCTTCTGTGGAGGCATCCCCACCCTCTTTACCCTCTACTCCCCAAACTTCACCAGGTCCTGGTGAGAGTCTATGCCATTCCCAGGAGCATGGGATTCCTACGGATCTGGGGTATGCTGTGGCCCCCCACCACTCGGGCGTGTACCCCATCCACACGCAGCTCTACGAGGCCTGGAAATCTGTCTGGGGCATCCAGGTGACCAGCACTGAGGAGTATCCCCATCTCCGCCCTGCCCGCTACCGCCGTGGCTTCATTCACAATGACATCATGGTGAGGGATTCCCACTACAAACGTCAATGTTTGAAATTTAGACAGCCTTTTACTGGCATTGACTTGTGACTTGCCAACTGCTATCCCAAGGCATCCACAAAATAGGAGATAAATATCATGATAATGAAGATAGTAAATTTTGTTACAATAACTTCAAACTTGGCCTCTGTAAACCCAGGGAGTCCAGTGCCTCCTGCCTTAGGTCCTTATCTGCTCTCCGTCTTATGATTCAAATCTCTTCTGTCCCTATACTTTCTTTTCCTCTCAGGTGCTCCCCCGACAAACATGTGGCCTTTTCACCCATACTATCTTCTATAATGAGTATCCTGGAGGGTCTCGTGAGCTAGATCGCAGCATCCGAGGTGGAGAGCTCTTTCTGACAGTGCTACTTAATCCGGTAAGGTGCCAAAAGGGAACCAGAAGCTAGAGAGCCAGAGTGTTGTCCAGCCGGGGCCTTTGCTCACTATAGCTGATTCTGAAATAGGACAGCTGTCTGAGTCTCACATGTAGGCACCCTCTTGTAGATCAGCGTCTTTATGACACATTTGTCAAACTATGGAAATGACCGGCTGGGCCTGTACACCTTTGAGAGCTTGGTGCGCTTCCTCCAGTGCTGGACACGACTGCGCCTCCAAACCCTTCCTCCTGTCCCTCTTGCACAGAAGTACTTTGAACTTTTCCCTCAGGAGCGAAGCCCCCTTTGGCAGGTAAGGATGGAGCTCAGGCTGACAGAGATCTGATGGGGGTCAAGGGTTACGAGATTAGTCCTCATCAGACTCGTGGCCTAACCTTCAGAATCCCTGTGATGACAAGAGGCACAAAGATATCTGGTCCAAGGAGAAAACCTGTGATCGGCTCCCCAAGTTCCTCATTGTGGGACCACAGAAGACAGGTAAATTGTCCCCAGCCAGTTTATCCTAAGCTGCCTTCTCATACCTACCTCTATTTAGTCAAGTCTATTGAGAAAAGGATTCATTTTTTTGAATTGCATTTATTTAGTGTGCTTGCATGCATGTGTGTAAACACATGCAGGAAAACTTGAGGAATCAGTTATTCCCACCATGTTTTGTTTTGTTCTGTTTTTTTTTGTTGTTTTTTTTTGGAGACAGGGTTTCCTTGTGTAACCCTGGCTGTCCTGAACAGAGATCTACCTGCCTCTGCCTCCTGGGTGCTGGGATTAAAGGCATGCACCATAGTGTTTTTTTTAATTACACTTGTTTAGTGTGAGTGTACGTGTTTGTGTGTGTGTGTACATGTGCAGAACAACTTGAGGGAATCAGTTCTCTCCTTCCACAATGTGGATCCTAGGGGTCAAACTCAGATTGTCGTACTTGGTGACAAGTACTTAAATCCACAGAGTTACCTCCATAGCCCTGAGACAGAAATTGCTTTTCCCCTTAATCCTAGCTATATAGCACAATTATTTATAGAAAATTAGGCATAGTGGCTCATCTGTAATCCTAGCACTTGAACTTGAGGCAAGGGCAGGGGGATTACAGTGAACTTAAAGCCAGTTTGGGCTACTTACTAAGTTCCAGGCTAGCCTGAGATACAGAGAGAAGACCCTGTTTCAAAAACTCAAACTCTACTACTAATAATGAGCCCCCATGTATGCAGGCTTTGCAGGTGTAGAGTGGTGAGTTTTGTTTTCCTTTTAGTGTTTTGAGAGTTGAACCTAGGGCCTTACACATACTACCACACTACCACTCAGCTGACCTCTAGCTGCCATACATGGAATTTTTTGTTGTTTAGTTTTTTTGAGACAGGGTTTCATGTCACCCAGGCCACCCTGATCTCTTTGCTTCAATTTTCCGAATGCTAGGATTACATATGTAAGTCACCATATCTGGCTCTGTCTGTAGAGTTTTAAAGATAGTTAAATAGTGGCAGGGATGTTTTCTGAGCATGCCTAAAGCCTTAGGTTTCAGCCCCAGCATAAAGCCAATATGGTGAACAGGCAGGATGAGAAGTTCAAGGCCATCCTTGGCTATAAAGCAAGTTTGAGGCCAGCTGGGCTACATAAGACCCTGTCTCAAAACCAGCTGGGCTACATAAGACCCTTTCTCAAACCAGCCTCCAAAGCCACAGAGAAACCCTGCCTCGAACCCCCCGCCCCCAGAAAAAAAGAAAAAAAAAATCTATTAAATAGCCAGAGTTGGTTGTACAAAGCTTGTAATTCCAGCTGTTTGGGAGGCAGAAAAACATCAGTGCATGCTCAGCTACAGTGTACTCAAGGAATTCTGGGCAATTTAGTAAGACCTAATCCCAAACTAAAAAAGTAAAAAGTCTGGGGCTACAGCTCTGTGGAAGAGCATTCCCCATGTGTGAAGTGCTAGATTCAGGCGAGAGAGAGAGAGAGAGAGAGAGAGAGAGAGAGAGAGAGTGAGTGTAGGGGGGTAGATAATATCTACAAGTGACTGATAAAGTGCAAGGTGAAAGGCAATATTTTTTGTTTGTTGTTGTTTTTTCGAGACGTGGTTTCTCTGTAGTTTTGGAGCCTGACCTGGAACTCATTCTTGTAGACCAGGCTGGCCTCAAACTCGAAGAGATCCACCTGCCTCTGCCTCTTCTAGTGCTGGGATTAAAGGCAAGTGCCACCACCACCCGGCTAGAAAGGCAGTTTTTAACTCATTCCTGGGCCTCTCCCAGTGTTTCCTTCTCTCACTTTACTTTGGCAGAAGGGAGTTTTACTACCCACAAGTGAGTATTTTCTTACTTCCTTCAAACTCATGCTGTTACGCTGGCAGCTTTCCTGGAACAGGCTGGTCCTTGTCGTCCATACAGGCACCACAGCTATTCACTTCTTCCTGAGCCTGCATCCAGCTGTGACAAGCAGCTTTCCTAGCCCCAGCACCTTTGAGGAAATTCAGTTCTTCAGTGGCCCTAATTACCACAAGGGTATTGACTGGTGAGACTGGGTCCCCTTGACTGTTTCTCAGAGCAACATTGCCTTCTCCAAAAAATAACACATTCCAGCTTCTACCAGGACACAAACATCTGGTCTTGCCCCTGAAATGTTTTCTTTTTTATGCTACTCTGTAGGTACATGGACTTCTTCCCTGTTCCTTCCAATGCCAGCACTGACTTCCTCTTTGAAAAAAGTGCCACCTACTTTGACTCAGAGGTTGTACCACGGCGGGGGGCTGCCCTTCTGCCAAGAGCCAAGATCATCACTGTGCTCACCAACCCTGCTGACAGGGCCTACTCCTGGTACCAGGTTTGCCTGAAGCTAGGGACACCCTAGGCCTTAAGGGAGAGGTGGAGAAGGTAGTTACTGCTAGAGACACAGAAAAGAATGAGGGTAGGGAAACTAAACTAGTCCCTTAGGGAGGGGTAGGTATTCTATTGCCCCCAGACAAGAATATGTGCGGACTGATACTGTCAAATCATCAGCCCTGTCCCTTCTTATCCTTGGTCCTGCAGCACCAGCGAGCACACGGAGACCCAGTTGCTTTGAACTATACCTTCTACCAAGTGATTTCAGCTTCCTCTCAGGCCCCTCCAGTACTTCGCTCCTTGCAGAACCGTTGTCTTGTACCTGGCTACTATTCTACCCATCTGCAGCGCTGGCTGACTTACTATCCCTCTGGACAGGTACATTCTCCCATGAGCCTTCACTAGGGTCCCCTCCTTTCAGCCAGTCTTAGGGATCTAGAGGGAACCACATCCCTGTCCCTTCAGTTGCTGATTGTGGATGGGCAGGAGCTTCGTATCAACCCAGCAGCCTCAATGGAGACCATCCAGAAGTTCCTGGGCATCACCCCCTTTCTGAACTACACAAGGACCCTCAGGTGGGAGTTTGTGGCAAGGGCAAGAGGTTTTGTGGTGAAAGGGGAAGGGGCTTGTTTGGAAGAGATATCTCTCCCTGTGGGCTGAGAGGGGGAGGGTGCGTTTGTGGGGCTCGAATTTCTCTTCTCCCTGACCTCTAATGGCCTGTTCCTTTGAGCAGGTTTGATGAAGATAAAGGATTTTGGTGCCAGGGACTTGAAGGTGGTAAGACTCGCTGTCTAGGGAAAAGCAAAGGCCGGAGATACCCAGACATGGACATGGAGGTAAGTGAAACCTGGGACAAGGTTGCCACTCCATCTCCAGGATCTGACCTTGCTGCAGTCTTTACTGTTTGTTTCTCCTTTTACTTTTTCTCCCATCAGTCTCGACTTTTCCTTACGGATTTTTTCCGGAACCATAATTTGGAACTATCAAAGCTGCTGAGCCGGCTTGGACAGCCAGCCCCCTTGTGGCTTCGGGAAGAATTGCAACATTCCAGTGTGGGCTGATGCCCCAGCTTTCCCATACCAGCAAAAACCCTGCTGCTTCACTGAGGGGCAAGCCTTAGAGCAGGGCCCGCAAGGGGGATTAGCGTGGCCTGGCCCCTTACCCCTCTACCTCAGTGGCCCCCCAGGATTGGAATGGCTGAAAATGGAAGGGCATCCATCCCTTTCCCATAGTTTTGGGGCCTAAAAAAGGGGCTTCCCTTGATACCCTGTATCATGGTACTAGGTACCTTTGACCTATGAACCTGGGAAGTGAGGAAGAGGGTCCAGGGAGGGGGTAGAAGAATGTATTGATTCAATGATTCCCCTCTTCATCCCCAGCCAGTTTTTCTGTCTATGCCTACCCATGAGAGGGCCCTTTGCTATGGCCCTTTAATCAGACAATGGGATCTACCTGTGGCCTGGCCTCCCTAATGTCATTCACATTGAATGGGGATGAGGTCGGACAGTTGCTCATAGAGCTGAATATGAGCCCTAGCTGTGGGCTAGAAATGTCCTTAATAAACATCCTTATTTTTCTGTTTGGTCTGCTTCACTGCAGTGAGAACAACCTAGAATACAGCAGGTATCAACTGCCTTTCCACAAGCTCTTCTATACAAGAAGGGAAAGACCCAGAAAATAGAGTAAAAAAGGAGTTTATATATTTATAAATGCCAAATAAATACCAGAGGCCACCCAATGCCCTCTCCCAGACAAAGCTGTCTCCCCCAGCCCTAGGCTTCTAAGGTCTGAGACATCTTGGCCCCAAGCTACAGCCCAAGAGCAGCTGCCAGTCTGGGCTACCAGGGAATTGAGTGGGGATGATCTGTCCAGCCAAGAGTCATTCCCTCTGTGTGAGGGGCCCCCATAGCCACAGGCCTGTGTCCCTACATAGGTTCCTATAGGGGCCAGACTCAGGGGGAGAAGGTGGTTATCTCTAGAGAGACCCGCTGCCACAACTCCTTGGTCTGTTTGCTGCGCTTGAGGTTCTGTAGGATGTCGTTGAACTGCATCATGCCCATGGGTGTCAGGCAGAAGGCGCTGCGGGCACTGCGGATGGCATTCACAAAGTCGTCGTAGTCGGCGGGGGTGAGGTGGATTAAGCGGTGATGGATGTACTAGAGGATGGGTTGGAGGGGTGTCTCATCTCAGCACAAAGCTCCCACAACTGGGGCCCACCTCCCGTAACATGCTAGGGACCCTTGTCCATCTGCCCCAGAGGTGCTCTAGCCTGTTCCATTATTTCCTAAGTTGTCACCTGCATGTATGCCTGCTGACAGCGCTGCACCAGTTGGTGGAAGGCCGGGGCTCGAAGATGGTTGTGGGCATGAATGGGGTTCAGCCGCTGCAGCGTCTCCATGACGATCTCCTGCAGCACAAACGGGCTCAGCACCCCCTTGGCTGCCCCCACACAGAACTGGTGCACGTAGTTCACTCCTGGGGGGCAGGGGGAGGGGCATGAGACGGGGGTGGCCACCTCTGCCCTAGGGACCCACTTATATATCTCAGCTCTGGCCTGACAGAGAGCCTCCCTCCACCCCAGGAGCTGAGGTAACCCTCCGACCCCCATGCTTGCACACATACCCGACCAAGGCCTCAACTCTGAGCAAGAGCTAGGAAGGAGGTCTGGGGATAGGAAGGTAGGGGAATCAGGTCGGGGGACAATGGTCCTGGGGAGGGGAGGTGTTACCCAGCTTTGCTGCCAGCCCCAGCAACCATTTGACATCATCAGTGTAGGGGGGGGAGCGGGAGAAGTTGTTAGGGTGATCGTTGTGTGCCCGGCGACCGAGCATCTCAAGTGCCAGCATCCCTAGGAAACACAGATGGGCACACAATAGGGTATGTCCTCCACCTTCTACCCCAACCTGGTACCTGACCCATAGTAAACAATAAAATGGAGCTAGGAGTACAGAAAGAACTTCTTACCAACACGATAAGCAGCATGCAGGTGGTGCAGGCTGTGTGGATTGACTGGCTGACTGTGTGTTTCCTCCTCCGGTGGTGGAAAACCTCCGCTTACCAGAGGGCTGGGCTGCGTGGTCAGAGCAGGCAGTGAGGCACCCTGAATGGCTGGAAATGTGGGTGCTGGATGGACACTGCTCACTGAGGGTAGATTGAAAGCCATGAGCAAGAAGAGGGGCAGAGAAGATTCCCTCCCTACCTCCTGTGTCCAGTGCACCTCCCCTTCATTCACCTGCTCCCTGTCCCCAAAACTCACAGGCCACACTGGTTGGCAGTGGGAGCCCTGGCTCTGTGTGGTAGGGATGGACTGTGATGGGAGCCATGGAAGGGACAGGAAAAGATACAGCTGTGGCAGCGAGTGAGGGAGGAGTCACTGAGTAGGGGTATTGAGCCCCCAGGAATGCAGGATGCACACCCTATAGGGATAGGGAAAAGAGCAGATACGAAGTTACGTTCATGACAAATGGCCGTTCCTACATTTCTTAGTTGGCCCTGATCTCCTTGTTTTCTCACCAGGACTCCTGGACAGCCCTAGTATACTCCCCAAAGTACTCTACTCCAACCCTGTGAACCTGATGTTCCTCCCACATTCCCCACACCACCAGCAAAACACTAGTCTCACCTGTGGGTATGCAGAGCTGGGCACAGGGAAGACGGCAGGCCGGGGCATATGAGGCATAGGGTGGGCAGGGTGAGCTGGGTGAGTGAGGTACTGGGGGCTGCAGGGCAGGTGGGGCTGTAGAGCAGTGTAGGGGTGCAGGCCAGGGGAATGACCGTGCCCCAGTCCTGGACCTGGATATAAACTGGATCCCACTGAGATGACTGGAACCACTGTGGCTGCTGCTGTAACTGCTGCTGCAGCCACTGTAACAGGTTCAGCCCCAGGGGCACCCCTGCCCTCAGGCATCCCCCGCCCAGCCTCCCCAGCAGCCCTCATCCCCCTGCCACTACAGCTGGTAGCCCCTTCACGGGCCGTGGATGAGCCGCCTGCTGTCTGTTCATAGAGCCAGAACCACTGATGAGCAACCTCAAACAGCACTTCAGGGTATACACCCCCACCCTTGGCTGCTTCTTCCACTGCCATGCAGGCCTTCTCCAACATCAGGTTATCCTGGAAAGGAGCACAGAGCCTTAGGGGAAAAGGGGCTTACCCAGGAATGCTGACTAGTTGAGGAGGGCATCAGAAACCAGTGCTCGCAGTATCAGCAGTGAGTGCTTCACACAGAACAAATAAAGCTCATTTCTGACACCATCCTCAGGGATCATGCTGATCCCTAAATGTAAGCCTCTATTTCCTTGTGTGTGTCATGGTAATAACCCCGGCTACAGAATTGTAAGATAAATATCATAGTATGCAACACAAAGTATATGAATATAATAGGATGAATATAAAAGATGAATGTGAAAATGTGAATTCATATTATTGGATTGAATATCCCCAGCTTGAAAATTGGAAACACTAAAATCAGAAACATTTTGAATACTAACATGATACCACAAGTGGGAAATACCATGAAATATGCTTTCATGAACAAACAGGGCTGGAGACTAAGTCAGTTGCTTGCCTAGTCTGTACGAGACCCTGGATTCCATTCCCCATAGATACATACTTTGGAGAGAAACAAGGCAAGAGAGACACAAGATTATCCCTAGGCTGTGAATGTAATTAATACATAAAGTATGAAAATCACAATTAGATTTGGGTCCCATCCCTAAGATAGCTCATATATAGGAAAATATTCCAAAACCTAAAATCCAAAATACTCATATTCCAGAACCTAACAGATACTCAACCTATAATGTGTGAAATGTTAAGAGAAAAATTAGATACTTCCGAAACTCCTCAATATGGGGAAATCAAGAGAAGATCCCTAAACCCCTAATAATAGACTGTCCCAGCTACTCTGAAGGCTGAGGAAATTCATCAGGCCCATCCTAGGCAATTTAGGCCTCTTGGAAGGAAGGAAAGAAGGGCCACAAGATAGCTAGTAAATAGAGGCACTTATTGCCAAGCCTGACAGGAGTTTGATTCCTAGGACCCACAAGGAAAGAAAAGAGAAACCCCCACAAGCTGTTCTCTCTCTCTCTCTCACACACACACACACACACACACACACACGTACTTTAGCACACACCCCACCCCATCATACACACACACAAAAATCTTTTAAGAGAAAAAATGCTGAGCCCTTAAGTTTCCCCATGCGCAGATAGCTGAGAGCAGAAGTACCTGTTCTTTGCATTGCACCAAGGCTCGTTGAATTTCATTGGGGTTCAGTGCATGGGCATGAGGCAGGCAGCTTAGAGCCAGCTCTGCCGCTGCCCTCACCATGTTGGAGTCTCGTGCCCGTGATGCTCTATCAGCCAGTGATGCAACCTCAGGGGGGGTCAGGTGCCCATCCCAGCATTCCACCAGTATAGTCAGGGCTGCACTGCCAATTTCCATTGCCTGTCCTTTAGGGGAAAAAAAAAGAACAAAGCGGGCACCACTGAAGTCTGGAGATGACATCTTTCATCAGATCAGCAATGTCACAAAGATAACATCCTTACTTCCAATTCACCTCCATCCTGTATTCCAATCAGGACATTGGACTTACCTGTAATCCAGGATACATGGGAAGAATATGTACGAGAGAGCCAGTTAGGAGAAACAAAGTTGTGCAGGCCAAGGGCATAAAGCCCAATCTCAAAGGCGCAAAGGTGCAGGTTGCGGTGAGGACCCTGGTGGCCTCCTGAGGAGGATGGATGTGTGAAAATGGAAGTGCTGCTGTTGCCCCCTGCTTTGATCAGAACTGTCTTCGCCAATTCGAAGTAGAAGTGTGCAGCTGCCTCTGATGGCTGATTGGGTACATGGGGGGCATGACTCTCAGGGCGGCGGCCCTTGTAACACCTGAAGGAGCAATGAGGTATTGACAGGGCTGGAGTTCCTTCAAAATATAGTGTCCAAGAGAGACCCGAATAGTAAGGCTGTTAGGGCAACAGTTAGGTCACACTAGAAATTGGTTTTGAGAATAGGCTAGATTAGAGATGGGTATGTCTCCCTACTGACCTGCCAACCTCAACCGTCTTTGCCCGGGCCCCTCCACTGGCACTAGCCCGGCGGCTTCCACTGGAAGATGAGGAGCCCAAGGAGTCTGAGGAAGAGCTGCTAATGCTGTCACTGTCTTGTCCTCGACCCCAGGAAGTAGGGGCCCAGCCCCCTCGAAGTGGCCTTCGGCTTAAGGTAGGAGAGCTGTCCGATGTAGTTTCAGGGGCACTGCTGTCAATGCTGGCCATGCCTAATACCCCAATATGAATCAGTCTTGTAAATCAGGAACACCTGAAAGTCTTCAGCCTTCAGGACTTGCCTTCCCTCCATACCATCCCTTTAGTTGTCCTACCTGTGTGCTTCTTTTTGGGCCGCCCTGGGGAGCCCCAACCCCGACCATTATAGCCTCCACGACTGCCAAGAGCTAGGCGGCTAGGAACCTTCCCCTCGGGCCGTGGAGTCAAAGCTGCCTCAGGTGGGAGACCCTCACAGGGGGAATGTGGGGAGCTTTCTAGGTGAGAAAACAGGACAGTGGGATGAGCCCAGGAA